TGCTTGCTTGCTTGAGTAGTATAGAGATTAATTGCTTGTCGATCTCGTTTAAGGGCTAAGACCCAATTAGGGCTTCACCACTTAGGGTAGATGGCTAGGGTTAATGATCTAGTGCTCATAGCTCGTTTATTCATTTTTGCCGTTGATTATCATCTCGTTGTGGTTATGGCATGAGACTCCGATGGTCTAGTTTGCTACTTGCTCGTGATTTGATATTGCTTTTAGTTCATTGCTTGCTCGTTTAGTGTTAATCTAACCCCCAATCAATTGCTTAGAATTTTTAGGTCTTTATTTTTTCTTTTTGTGATTTGGACGATCAACTAGTAAGTGAAGCTCCGAATAGCCTTCTCTCGAGATCGACCCGAGTCGGGTAACTCAGTTATTCCTTGCCCACCAAATCTTTACTAAGCAAATGGCACCGTTACCAGGGATCGAACGCGGGTCGTCCGCGTGACAGGCGGAAATCCTCTGACCTTATTTTGGTATTCCCTGACTTCGGAGATCCTTACCTTTTATTATCCCTTTATTCAATCATTAATTGTTGTTTTAATCTTCATGCAAATTCCTTGCTGGCTTCCGTCCACTCAGGCTCGACCTCTTCGACCAAGCATTCCAGAGGCCACCATCGAGACTACTGCCGAAGTGCAACAAGCCCCTCTTATGCCTCAGTCGACGCTTTTTGCCAAAATTCCTCTGATCTAGCTAACTCCCATCCTTGAGCCACCATCGGTCCAAATTCGAGAGCTCTGAACATGTTGTGTCTGTTGAAAAGAGACCAAAGCCACCAATATAGAAAATGAAGCATCCCTCCAATGTTGAAAATTGAGCTTTCACAAACAAACCACCAATGTTGAAATAAGATAGCATGTTTTCTTTGAAATTCGATGCACGTTTGTATCTATAAATAGAGAGCAAATGAACACACCAAGAACCAGGGGCAAAACCACAGAGAAGGTCGGAGAGGCGCCGGCCCTTCCAAAAAAAAAAAAAAATCGAACTAGGGGTGGGGGATTTTGCTGGAACTGGAAGGGCGCCCTTTGAGCGCCCTTCCGATGCCGGAGTGGGGGTGGTGCACCGCGGGATGGACGGAGGGGCGTGTTTATTGTGTTTTTGTGTTTATTTCTATGTGTTTTTGTGTGCTTTCGAGTCGAT